CTGCAGAAGAGACGCACGTGCACAGACCTGGGTGAGCTGCGCAGTTACCTTGGCTTGCAGATCACCCGGGACAGAGCACGCCGCACCATCACACTGACTCAGTCACACATGGTGCAGCAGGTCCTTTAGCGCTTCGGCTTCTGCAGGTCCTCCACACAGTCCACTCCTCTAGCTACAGGTCACTCGCTCTCAGCTCCACCTTCGGACGAGTCCGTAGAGCCGAGTGGTCCTTACGCCGAGCTAGTGGGCTGCCTCATGTACCTGATGACCTGCACTCGGCCTGACCTTGCGTACCCTCTTGGCCTTTTGGCTCGCTACGTGGCTCCTGGTCGGCACCGAAAGGTGCACATGGATGCTGCGAAGAGGGTACTGCGCTACCTGTGCAGTACGTCGGGCATGGGGCTCGTGCTTGGAGGACGGAGAGACGTCCTCCTCACTGGACACTCTGACGCGTCTTGGGTTGACGACCAGGCTATGCAGCGGTCGTCACAGGGTTACACCTTCAGCCTTGGCTCTGGCTCTATTTCTTGGCGGTCTACGCGCTCCTCTTCTGTTCTCAGCACCAGTTGTGAGGCTGAGATCTACGCCACAGCCATGGCTGCACAGGAGTTACGCCGGCTCACCTACCTGCTGACAGACTTGGGAGAGCGGCCTCGTTCTCCTCCAGTTATGTACGTCGACAACAAGGCTGCCATTGCCTTGTGTGAGGAGCACAGACTGGAGCACAGAACGAAGCACATCGCTCTGCGTTACTTCTTGGCTCGAGAGTTGCAGCAGCGAGGTCAGCTTCGTCTTGCTCACGTGGCCACCCGGGCCAACACTGCTGATATATTCACCAAGGCACTTCCGTCTGGTGATCATCAGCGCTTTTGTACTTTGTTAGGCCTTGTGCCTACGTTCTCGCACTTGCTGTAGTCTCTGCTTGTACTGTGATATATATATATATATATATATATATATATTTATATACCTGCATGCTTGCTCTTGCTAGGTAGTGATCACTGTGATGCTATTGTTGCATATATATCTCTGCATGTGAACTGGCCTTGTGGCCCTTTGCTTGTGCTCAGTGTGTGTGGTGACGTTGTGATCCACCCTGAGCTTGCTTTTCTTTTCTTGACTGGCCTTGTGACCCCTTGCTCTCCCCCACTTTGCCTATGGGGGTGTGTCGAATGATATATGTATAATATATGTGTAGGCTGTAGTGGGATAGCCAATATGGGGTACAACCCCATTAGGGTTTCATACTTGTACCAAACTTCCTGCTAGTTGATTCATTCCTGCCTGTAGTTTCTGACATGCGGGAAAGTTGCAAAATTTTTACTTTTTTTATACCTTGGTTTTGCAACTGTCGAGTGATGGTCAAAAGTTGCAAAAATCCAAGTCACTGGAAAGTTGCAGAAAAGTTGCATTTCTGCGACACTTCCGCAACAAAACTGCAACATAGTGGACACTCGTTGGATACTTAATATATACATTTCAGTCACAAGTATGCAATTTCACTACCTGCCACGTGGCACGCGTACGGTTTCGTCTTCGAAGTGTACGTACGGGGGTACGTTCGCGAAGATACCGTATCGCCCCGGATATAAGCGCCGTCCAATTAAAGGCGCCGGCGCTTCTATCTGGAGCATGGCGCTTATGGCCGGAACTCGATTATAAGCGCCCCCCCTGTGAAACCCTGATTTATTATAAGCGCATCCATAATATTATGTTTCAATCCTGATTAAAGCGGTAACGAGTTTTGAATTTCAAGCGAGTCAGCACCCATTTTCAGTTTGTTTGACTTTCGCGGTCCTGACTGCTTTCGCGTCCAGTCAGGATGAGGTGGCAAGCTGGCAAATTGACGTGTCAAAATCTCTGTGCACTGTGCAGCGTCAGAGAATCGCCCTCACGCGATTCAGATTCTGGACGCTTTAAAATATCGACTCGATTGAACTACCGAGACTGAAATGTGTACATTTTGATGCGTTTAAGTTGTATATCTGTACTTGTCATTATATAAGTGCCGGCGCTTATGGCCGTGACTCAATTACAAGCGCCCCCCCCTAAAAAAACCGGTTTTATTATAAGCGCACATGCGCCTATATCCGGGGTTATACGGTATTTTGCCACGTCAGCCACGATATTTTTGCCACGTGTCATTCACGACATGTGGACTAAGGCTTGACACTTGGACCAATCAGACAAGCTGTTCGAACGTGGCAAAATTGATTTTAACAGGCCGCACATTTGCCTGAAATCGGAGCATGCGTGTTTGTATCCAGTGTGTTTGAATGTATACAGTCTATACACTATTTGTACATTTGCATTTATACTTTTAAGCATACACAGCGCACGACCTAGGCGAAAAACCAACACAACTAATGCAACTACTACATATCTTCAGGTCTCGAATATAGGGCAAAATCACGCTTCGTTTGTGGCCCTGCAAACAGAAATACGACATAGTGTGAGGCCTGGGTTAGTAGTCAGTGATTTTCCCCTACCTCACGAACCTACCGCCCGCGGGCCTTGAATTGAACCGATAACATTGCCATGAACAAGATTGACAACTAGTCAGTTCTGATGAAATCCTTGCAAAATAAAAGAATGTACACATATCTCGTGACAGCCACTGACCCTCCAATGGTCTTGGTACAACACATAAAAAGACAGCTAAACGTTAGCGTTAGTAGGCTGGATAATATATAACTTGAAACGAGCATGAGGAAGAAGCCAGGACGATCTAACTGAGTTGCAAGCGGAGGCAAAGAGAGACCAAAGGTCCTCCCGCATGCAGAGAGCGTGCCGACGATCTGTGTATTGGGAGGATGAAGCAGAAAACAACAACGTAACTGATTAAAGTGGCATGGTGCAGCGCAGTTCAATACGTGAGAAAATATATATGCATAAGTTTGGGAAAGTAAGAAAGGTAAACGAGAAGAGAAGAAGCCTAACATGTGCGACAAAATGACAAGTGAGGATCACAACAGGAGTGATGACAATCATTTCTAAAAAAATTCACGCTTCCAGCGCAGAACACTGCGCTTCCGCTGCCAGGCAACGCGCTTTACGTCGCACCGTCGTAGACGGGTGCTGAGTCCGCGGCGATTCGCGCGCAGAACGTCCTCCTCGTGGGGAGAGCAATGCGATGAGCTGTATTTGGGACGGGAGGTAGAAACGAAGGGGACAGATGCAGGCTGAGATAGTAGATCTGGACAGATAGTAGCTTGAATAGATACTTCCTATACTAATTTATCACATACACAGAAGGAAGAGCATACGGTATACGCTAGGTGATGCGTGAGGAGATATTCAGAGGCACGAGCTGCAGGCTGGACTGGAAGAATAAGCTGTGAAAGTTGTGTGAACAACGAGCTACGCGCCTAGCGTGTTGTGTGAATACGAAAGAGATATGCTTCTAGAGCTCCAAAGTGTGATGATGTGTCTTCACGAATGTCGTAGATTTCTGGTACTAGGCTACATCGCACCAGTAATTGGTTACTAAAAAATCATGAAGGTGAGGATAGCTCAATTCTATTACCTAAGCTGTGATCCGGGGAAGCCACGTCACTTGAACAGAATCTGAACACTTACTTTGATTGGGTGTGACATGCAACTGTATGCCAGCTGCCGGTTTCGATTCTGGGTTGTGCCTTCGCGAGCCTCGTTCGAGTTTGTATCCCAGTTACTGTGCTCGCAACGTTCGACAATGCCTGCCTGATTCGTGCGTAGTGTTCATCAATCATACACCAGCAAGGGGGACTCCCGAGATTTGGTCATGACCAGGTGTATTGTTCGGTGAAGATGTTTCAAAATTGATGTGTGAAATTAGTGGCTCGAGTAACCCACGTATACAAACTTCGCGCCCCGGCTGACCCACGTAGGCAAAATTCGCGGCTCGGAAGCCAGCTTGTATTCGAAATTGGTGCATGTTGCAGTTTTCACTCAGTGCTTTTCGGATACCTTTCAGGTAAGTTTCTGCAACTTTCCTGCAGCCTTCGGACTTAAACTCAATTTTGAGCCAAACCCTTTTCCGCGATGTCCGCGCTCATTCAAGCACTCACAGAGGAAAGCGAGATCCCTCAACCAAGTTGAGTTTGAGCTTCAGAGTACTTCGAAGCGCATTACTCTCGTCGGAACCGAGCCGCGGCGCGTTCACGTCAGATGGCTAGCTTGAAGCTCTACGGCATGGGCTACTCGCCCTTCGTCCGCCACGTTTTGCTCACGCTGCACGAACTCGGCATTGAGGTTGCGAAATTTTCCCTTATCGAGTCGGAACTAGATTTAGATTGCCAAATCCAGACACATAGAGCTTCTTTTTTATGGCCAATTTAAAGCCATAAGTCATGAGTTACTCGCCCTTCGTCCGCCGAGATTTGCTGTACTGCACAAACTCGGCATTGAGATGCGACTCCCACGTCCCGACGCCCTTAGATCGGATCGACCCCAATATATGCTTTCGGGGACACTCTAAGTCTTCCTTGTCTCATTCGTGGCAAAGCGCGGCTCCCCATCCCAAATTGATTTTTGTAGAGGCCCGTTTAGGCATGCCCCATCTTACATTTCGACTCGTTGACACAACGCGGCGTCTCTACAAAATGTGGAGCCGAGCAGGAGGGGCCGAGGGGTTGGCATGCACAAGTATCCACTTCGAAGTGTCGACTCATGTGTCCACAAACTTGCCTCACTGCATTGCGTTGTGTGAGACAACTTCCCGCACGATTAGGGCACCTATCCACCAACATGTTCGGCGCACGTACGCGGTGTAGCAGACGCGTTACCAGCGTCATGTATATTTCATAAAATTAACACAAATATATAATACAATTGCATATATAGCGAATAGACCCACAGTCCATGGTCAGGCAGCGCCTGAATCATCATGCGCCGCTAGTAGTTATACTATATAGTAGTAGAATATATTTAGGGGGACCGCACTTGGTACAGGCCCCTATTAGCTTAGGGAAGAGCCAAATGTTGTCTTCTGGGTCAAGCATCCTTCGTCCTGCAGCCTCTTAAGTGAGGTTCTCGTGGCATCGAAACGCCCAGCGGTTGAGGTACCACCTTCCACGGGTGACAAAAGAGGGCACACAGTGGGCTGCCCGTCGAATCCGCTCCACAGCAACGACCTCTAGGCCGCCCATCGCCTGTGTAACACCAAGAATTCGGCAGCCCGTCAGCTCGTGCAGCCCCCTGTCCGCCAACCTCTGCACCACCGCCACCTCCACGCTCAACCCCCTGGACGTCCTTCTCAGCGTCCAGTAGGAGGAGGAGCCGTCCGTAGTGGACTTCCCTCCCTAAAGCGGCGAACTCCACATAGGAGAATGCCTTACGACCATGCAGGGAGGGTGTTTCCCTCACATAGTGGGGCCTGGCGACGCCAACATCGGTCTGCCTGCCGGGCAGAGCCAAGGCGGTGTGGGCATGTAGGGTTAATAGGGGTGTAACGGACAGCCGGCAACACGGGGGGGTTTGTTGTTGTACGCTGGACATTCAATACAAGCACGGTGCAAGGTGGGGTGGTGTTGGACTACCAGTGAGGTGGTTTAACTGGCAGCATGCTACTACGTTGCCTATGTACCCAGCAGAGTGGAGCGCGTGGGAGGGGTGGGTGTAGAGTGGAAGAGGACCAGTGTGCTTAGGCGTGTGGAGTCGGAATCCTGAGGGGTCACGGGTTTAGACGGTGGCAACCGAACTCAACAGGGGCAGAGGTGAATCGAGATGCTACCCACAACCTTACCCATGCGGGGAACGGGGTCAGGCTGGCGTTGCGCATGACGGTGGCGTAGCATGCTAGCAGCCCCCCGCGCTGACCTGCTCAAACACCGAGTCCGCCGTGCCGTCTCCCACTGGCCGGTCCGTGAGGGACCTGCGGGTCCTGGTGAGCTGTGGTGTGCCCGTTGCAATCGCCTTCAACCACCGGAGTGAAAAAAAAGGGAACCGTGATAGCATGTCAACGACCACACAGCGTCAAGTCACCCTTTGCTAATGGCTTGCAAGCACCAACGCAGTTACCGTCCATGACGTACTCACCCGCTGCATGGCTGTCCTGTATCGTCGGGGCGCCGGGAGGGTGGACTCGACCCGCGCCAGCACTGCCACCCTTGTGTTGTGTGCCAAAATGGCCTGTTCTGGCGCCCGGTGGTTGGACGCCCGGTACGGTAGCTTGCAGGTACGAATGTGTGCGTTTTCGTACGCTGCCGCTGAGTACTCCTTCGGAAGGCCGGCACGACGAACCGCGTCAGGCATGTGCGTCAGCAGATGGATCTTCAGCAGGTTCCAGCCATAGGCGTCGCGTGGGAACACAGCTTGAACCGCCTGCATCATCCTGCGACGTAGCAGCAAAGGACACAGTCGTGAATCCGTGCGTTTAGCACTCTGAGGGGGGATCACAAGCCGGCGTCCGTACCTCCTGGTGTTCTCGTCGAACTCAGTGAGGGATCTGTCCATGTGATACGGGGCTCGGACAAAGCTCTCGTGCCACTCCAGGACGCCTACAAGGGCACGCGCCTGGATGGGCAGCACTTGGTTCTCCACCACAAATGGCGCGATCTGCGTGAAAAACCACAGGGCGAAGGTGAACACGTGCACCCATATGGCGGCGGCAAGGCAGGAGTGTTATGGTAGTGTACAGTCGCGTACCATCATCACGGTGCCATGCTCTGACGCTGTGAAGTTGGCCCCGCTGAGCCAAAACTTTCCAGAGCACGGGACGCCAATGCCGACGAGCCTCGCTTCTGGATACAGAGCGGTCATGCGTCTGCGGGCGGGGCGGGATAGGCAGGGGTTGTGTACGGAACAGCATTGCACAATGATGCTGCTGAGATGACAATAGCCTTACTCGTCCTTGATCTCGGCCGGGGTGCTGGTGCCGCACAAAGAGTCTTCGATGTAAACGAAGAATCCGATGTAGATCGCGTGCAATATGTCTGGCAACATCGAGAAGTAGGTGTTGCCCCAGATCGTGCGGCTGAAGTTGAAGTCCCACAGAAACGACTGCACACGCAGAAAGGAAACAATCAGTCACAGAGGAGTAGGACGTGATCAACAGACTATAGCTACGCACCGACCGTGGGAGAGAGTAAAGGGTTTTGAGGCTAGGGGGGGAGGGGGGCCAGATCGGGCGGTGGGGGACATGGAGTGTTCAGAGCGAGACCACTGACAGGGATCAGCAGTGTGGCGTGGCTTTTTGCCTGCAGCATGTCGGCAACAAGCTCCTCTTGCTTCTCCACCGTCCGCAACTGCGCTTGTTCACGGCCCATGTCTCCGAGATGGGCACGGCTGACATAGCAGAGCGAGCATGGCATCGCCGACCCCAGTTGCTGCGTGCAAGAAACCTTGCACGTCTCTGGATAGTCAGCGACGTACTCGAACAGAAGGGGCACCACGAACCGCGGCACGCCTGTTGGGTCCGTCGCTGCCATGCCCCTGTAAAGCAAACGGGAGACAAGGTTAGCATAGGTTAGCGGCCAATACACATTTATATTTTGGGGACCTGTGCAGGATAGACGCGTGCACCAGGGACATCAACCCTGTCCGTTCCCACCAACTCACGTGTGAGAGGCTACTATGAGGTCAGCGAGGACCACCTTCATAGCCGCCTGGAACAGAGCCGTCTTCTCTGCCGGGGTCATGCGAGTAGGCGGAAACGGCAGCAGAGCCAGCAATATCTTCGCGCAGTCAAGCCAGCGCCGGCGGAGGGGGATGTTCGCAAGCGACACATACACGGCCCACACCTTGGTGCGCTCGTTACCGGAGAGATTTGTTGCGTCGCTCGAGATGATCAGTGGCACAACCACGGCCCCTGGTCCGAACTGCTCCTCGGCGGCTTTCTGTGTTTCTTCCCAGAAGATAGCAGATTCTGGTGTGGTGTACACACGCCCAGCTCCAGATGTCTCCGTTCGAGGGAATAGCACGAACCCCTTGGCGTTAGCAGGGTTCCCTAACAGCTCGAGCACGGCCTGTGTGTCAAGGGACGAAGGACAGCAACGGTAGTGTGAAAACGTATGTGACACATGGAGCATGAGCGGCCAACACTGGTAAGACTCAAGGACGGATCACGCGGGTTCCGATTCAAGGCACGTACCTCCTTGCCGCTGCAGCATGTAACTTTGAATGCGCTTGGCCACCCCGGAACTGTGACCGAGTGGGTGCCGTACACGCGCCTCGCCATCAGAAGCGACATCCCGTACTGCGTCACTGCATGGAGCGTCCGCCAATGCCTTATCAGCTCAAGTCGGAGGCGTTCTTCCCGCAGAAGGTTCAAGAGCCACACCGTGCTCTCGTTGGTAAGTCCCCTCCCATTGTTACAGCCAGTGATGAAGCAAAAGACTTCCAGGAGCGTGTCAAAGTTCTCCACCCTCCGGAAGTTTGCCTCAGGCAGGACATTGACATCTTCGACCGGTGCATCATCCTCACCATCACTGTCGGAGGTGTCGGAGCCGTCTTCGTCTCCAGACGAGGAGGATGTTGCCGGATCCTGCGTATGTGATAGCTCTGTAAGCGTTGAGCTTATACGCATAACACGTTGCACAATGACGGCGAATCACGATGGACAGGAAAATGCCACTAATCTGGTACTTTATGTATCTGTCGGCGTGCCATGGCTTCCGTCGCTTGTTACGCCGCCAGCATTCGCTGGCGTGCTCACTCCTGGCGCGCTCGTGGCAGGACCACCATTTTGGATGGCTGGCGTGACGGGCGGCGGTGGATTGCCTGCTTGCGCGACTGTTCGTCGGACGAACCTAGAACGCAGGCGCCTGCACGAACTGCTTCGGGTCTTGTGAGAAAGCAGAGCAGTCCGAGATGTGAAATGCCGGAGGCACCACTCACAGGCGTACAGAGATGGTAGCCACGACGTCGCGGCCGTGGATAGTAGTATGTCACACCCATCGCCTGACTGCTGTCTTATACGACTTCAAACTTGCATGTAGGCGACGCCGAGTTGCACTATAGTACGCCCGGAGGCGGCGTGCGAGATATTTCGGTACAGAGGTCGTAGACATTAGTCTGACTTCTGCATCATTCTGGCAGGACCAAACTGCAGCTCGATATTTTCTGGCGATCGATTTGTAACCCTCACTGGCTACTAAAGGCGAGTGGGCGAACCTCGTGTTAGGATTGAAGCTGGTTACACAAGTCGTAGCGGCTATCGGCTGTTAAATCGTCGAGGTGAACAGCAACCAGATTTTTAATGGCATAGGTGTTTTCAACATTCATTGGCTATTCAATGCGAGTGGTCTAATCTCGGGTTATGCTTGAAGCGGGTCACACATGTCATGCAGAGCATTGGCTGTAAACTCGTCGAGGTGGCTGTTTTTGAGCGAGCGTCTCATTGGCGAGCCGTTCATTGGCTACCAAATGAGAGTGAGCCAACCTCGGGTTTTTGGTTGAAGCGGGTAACACGAGCCACATCTAGTATTGGATGGAAACCCGTCGCACAAAAATACGGACGTGGCCGCCAAATTCTGTGAATTGGGTTGACTGCAAGCTGACGTGTGTCGGCTTTTCCACAGACACAGCGTTAATTTGTGGGGTTTTTAGTTATTGCGGAAGGGGTACTTCCGAACCTGCGCTTTCTAGGGAGCTTCATCTCTACCTGCACAGAGTTTCCCAGGTTTCGACGCCCAGACAGAAGACTTATTGCGCTGGGACAGAACTCGGCTCCACGTTTACCCACGTGTCATCATCTCGTAAGGCCTTAGCTGCTACTAGTCAGGCAAACGATGCACAACAGAATTTGTTTTTTTTTTCCTCTCTAATCCGCACTAAACTAAATCCCTCTCGGCTGGCAAGTGATAGGGGGCATCAACCCTAAACACTGCGACTAAGTGTTTAGGGTTGATGCCAAAAATAATCCCTCTTGGTTGGCATGTAAATAAAGGGCATCAATCCTAAACACCTAATCGCGTGGAGTTTAGGGTTGATGCCCTCGAAAACTTGCCACCCGAGAGGGGTTTAGTTTTGTGCTTGCTGGCAGAAGACACCCGATGAAAACAGTGCTTGCGTGACGTGCGGAGAAGCCGAGTTCTGTGTTAGCACAATAACTCTTCCGCCTCAGAAGCGGATCAGCGGAAAGTGTGCGCAAGCTGAGATGAAAGTCCCTTGAAAGAAGGACAGCTACAGTAAGCCTTCCGGGGAAACTAAAAACCCTAATTTGTGTGCGAGGGTTGCTACACATGCGAGTCGGGTTACTGAGGCCCTAACACCACGCCCGCGAATGTGTTACCACTCTGGTGTCTTTGCTGTGTTAGCTCGTGGTGGGAGTTAACATTTTGCAGCGCTCATCGCCATTTCACAGCAAGACACACAACTTAGGCATTCTGGCGGAACACACATAGCCCAGCAACATGGTCAGAACTCACCACACGATCCAGACGCCTTTGTCACGCTCTTCACAATGGCGAAGCGGACGCGATGGCAGTTCGCGGAACGAGTCCTTGCTATATCGTGGGCCCACGTGGCCCAGGGTCCACTCAGCTAGTCTAGGCCGCCTTCCATTTCTGTGCTCGTGCGGGATTACCATGAGATTGCATCTTTGACGCGACGCGACATCTCCGCACGAGCCCCAGAGTTACAAATGAAACGGTGTTGGCGGGGAACGGGGTTTAGGGCTGGGGCCAATATACTACAAGGGCTGAGAAATTCAAAAGCATGGGTTTGCATCCCCTCTATGTCCCTCCCTCCCCCCACCAGTGGCCTAATCACATTATGACATCCGGGTTCACAGATTCCCACTCCTCCCATACCCACCTCAACCCTTCTTCCCCTCGCCCCGTGCAGGGCTACGAGTGGGAGCTTGTCGATGCCACAAAGGGCGAATCGCGCACGCCCGCATTTCTCGGCAAGAAGCCCTTCGGGAAGCTGCCTCTGCTTGAAGACGACGGCGAGCACATCTGGGGTAGGTGCTTTTGGGGAAGGTACTTTTGGGGAAGATGGATTTGGGGTGGGTGCTTTGGGGGAAGATGCATCTGGGGTGGGTGCTATTTGGGGAAGGTGCACCTGGGGTCATGGTCGAGTTCTTCGACGAGGCGCCTAAACACAAAGCCCACGGTGAGTGCATCTGAATAGGTGCATTTGGGGCTGGGGCTTGCAGAGTCTCATCCCAAAAAAGTTCCCAGCAAATTTCTACCCCGAGGTCACATCAGGGTTACCCCGTGGAGTGATACCCCAGTGTCGCCAGCAGTGATACCCCCACGTTACCGCAGTCCGATGATCAGTTCGTTGTCACACTGAGGTGACCCCGAGCGGTGACCCAAATGTTACCCACAAGTCACCTCCCGAAAAGCTGGGGCCCAATCGCCGACGTTCCAGCTTCCTGCATCACGCGAGCCGGTTCCGCGCTGTCAACATTTTCGATTTTAGCTTAAATCATATCTACAGTGCAGAGTAATTTCTGTCAGTATTTTTCTCTATTGTAAATCTCATTCCGATTAAAACAACAATTACTAAACTTAGTAACCAACTATTGTTGATTTCGTCGCGGGCTGATAATTGGGTGGGTGGGCCCACCCACAGGATCGACCCAGGAGGGTCGACCTGCTCTGATACCATGTCAACAGGACTAGGCAAGAATGATGCATTGAAAGTAGAGAGAGCTTGAACTAGCAGGCAGTTGAGTACAAATAGCAAACCCTAGATTGGGCTGTACTCACTATAGAGTACCCCACTGCAGGCTAGACAATAATAGCATTCTGACATTGAGCATATTTCACTTGCAGCCAAAACGGATCACAAGATACTGCAGAGTAGAAACACAAAAAAAGAAGTGGCTGACAAAGTTGGAGATCTTCCTAAAACGTGTGACACCTGGAAGCCATGGAAAATGGGGGAACGAGGATAGGGCTCGTCATGTCAATATCCCGATAAGGAAAGCAGAAACGAACACTGTACAATTAATCAGGAAACGACTTACCAGACCACGTGTCTTGTCTTGACACGGTAGGAGGCTCGCCACAGATAGAAGCCTATAAGGAAAAGCAATTCGGATAAAATACTAGTATTCACAGAAACAGAGCATTAAGGCGATAAATCCGTAACAGAAACAATGAAACAAAGAGCTCGACCTGAGCTGAACTGCTGGCCGACTGACGGGATGTGGAGCAGTTGAGTTACGGAAAACTTGCTTACCTCGTAAGCACACTCTAGGCCTCCAAATACGGGGGCCTGGCACGATGATGATTGATGCCTGCAAAGAAACGCACATGGCTCGAGGAAACAATTAGGAACTGAAGGGGGAAAAAAAAACGACAATAAAACTTTAGGGACATTCACGCCTCCCATCGCCAGGTTTATGACGCTGCTTCACAAGGAAAAGAGTAACGAGAAACTAAGCTAGTTATTGGTCACCCATAGCCTCCAGCAATGACTAAGAAACTGCAGTAGCGGGAAACGCAGACATGGCGGCGAGTTAAGAGAAGTGTGTGTCAGAGGTCCACTGGAGATCCCCGATGATCCTAGGGAAGGGTTACAGGCACGTTGGCCTGGGGGGCTATGGGCGCACTCACCCGCTATACAAACAAGCCCTTTTATCCCAGTGGTTAGTGACTGGGATTCTGACATGGTATCAGAGCGAAGGTCTCGGGTTCGAATCCCGGTGTGTGCACTTCGGGCATCCCAGTGCGGGGGGGTGTCAGAGGTCCACTGGAGATCCCCGTGTTAGAAGAGTAGCTAGAACAAGGAGCCATAGCTAGGGTTTACCTAGCTAGGCAAGAGAGAAATGAGCAAAGGAGGGGTTTCACTAGCAAGCAGGAGGATACATATAGGAAACCCTAAGGGGTTGTACTCGCTATAGAGTACCCCACTGCAGGCTAGAGAATAATAACATTCTGACACACCCCCATAGTCAAAGTGGGGTATGATCAGCACAGCAAGCAGTCATAGAGCAGGTTCACAAGGGCAAGCAAAGCTAGAGGCAGTCACACAGGGCAAGTGAGGAGGAGGAGTGACTGTGAGAGGAGAAGAGATGGGAGGCGACTGCTGAAGCTGCAGACACTCAGGCCACAGGAGCGGCTGGCTCAGTTGCTACCGGAGCAAGGGCCCCGGACTACAGGAGTAACAGGCTCAGACAGGAGCAACGGACCCACGGGCGACAGGCGCAGCAGGCTCTCTGGGCTACCAGCGGCAAGGGCCCCGGACTACAGGCGCTGCGGACGACAAGACTGCTACCTCCAC